TATATATATATATATTATTAGGCAAGACATAATGATATTTTGGCTTGTAAATTTCACAATAAATGAATACACATGAAATATATTGTCATATAACATAGTGAGAGGTATATTTTTGTTTTGTAAGGGAACATAGACACAAATGCAGTGCATTATGTTCTGTTTGCATAAATTTAGAATGAAACGTTGTGACATTTGTGTTTGGTAGATTGTTTCTTTGTTGTAACAATGCTTCTTGGCAATAAATCTTATAACGTTGCAAAGTCTGCTAATTTCAGTTTTAAATGGTGCCACATTTGTAAGGAACATGCCTTTGTGGGATGAACAGTAAAGCTGAGTAAAGCTAAACATCTTCTCTGCCAATCAGTTTATTTTGCTGTTACTTTTAACACTTGACTGAAAATGCTATCATACTGTATATGTAACTGCAAAACCACAAGTCACAAATGTTTTTTTCTTCAGTGCCAAAAACATCTGTGTTTTACAATCAGACAAGAAAAAATAACATTATCAACATGTTTTAAAAAGTAGCAAGTGTTTTGGGATCGTTACATCACTTTAGCTTTCATTGCAATGACTTTTTCACACTAAAAACTAAAGCTGAAAAGAAAAAAAATGCTGCATCATATAGACTCCTGTAAACTATACAGAGTTCCAATCAATCCTGGATTAAAAACCAAGCGTACAATCACTAAACCTCTACTTGTTCCTTGTGGATGTTGTTGCGTCACTTTATGGACTTTAATCCACAGACAAAGTTCAGGGAACATTAAATAAATACATTAACATAGATGGGTTATGTCACATGTTAGAATAAAGTGTACTTTTTTATAATACACTTTAAAACTGCTAAAGTTTCACTGATAAACTTCCTTACTATAACAAAAGAAGGATATAAAAGATGACATTGAAGGACAGAATAAGTATGTTTTGCTTTTGGCTGCTCTTTTCTGCAGGAGTGAACTCACACAAAATGTTTGGCAATTGTTTCGCACCAGATGCCTTCTCTGAAACAAGCTGGACTCAAACCTGCAGCCTCAGGAATAAAAGACTGATTAAATCTATCAGCTGGAGGACCGGTACCAGAGAACAGGTGGGAGTGGGTGTGGCAGGCTGACTGAGAGGAGGAGCTAAAATGAAGGAAAGCAATTGACTCTAGGAATGCAGGGCGAAATACAAATAAACCCAAAGATCACAAAATGTTAAATCTAATTCAGAAATATATAAATAAAACTAACAAAAAAAAACATGACTTGTGACACAATAAATGTTGTCACTATCACAATAATATGATACTTCTGCCTGTTTGTTGTTTCAACCTAATAATAAATGTCAGTTAGTAAACTGCTGGTGAAGTTGTTGAGATAAATAGAAACAAAGAGTTACAAAACATCTTGACTAAAAAGTAATAATAA